CTTCTGGGTGCTGGGACCGGCTGAGCTTCACTGCCCTAGGAGCCTGGGATGGAGGCGGGGAGCTTCCTTCTGGGTGCTGGGACCGGCTGAGCTTCCCTGCCCTAGGAGCCTGGGATGGAGGCAGGGAGCTTCCTTCCGGGTGCTGGAACCCGCTGAGCTTCTCTGCCCTAGGAACCTGGGATGGAGGCGGGGAGCTTCCTTCCAGGTGCTGGGACCGGCTGAGCTTCACTGCCCTAGGAGCCTGGGATGGAGGCAGGGAGCTTCCTTCCCGGTGCTGGGACTGGCTCACCTTCTTGGCCCTAGGAGCCTGGGATGGCAGCGGGGGAGCTTCCTTCTGGGTGCTGACTTCACTTTTTTAAAAAAGATAAATCTTAGGACCGGGGACTTAACTCAGTGGCACCACACCCGCCTTATAAGCGCAAGGTCCTGAGTTCAATCCTCAGTACTGGGAAAAAAAAAAAAAGATAAATCTTATATAGAAACTCAATATTTAAAACCAATAAAAGCACAGTTGCTCTGAAAATAGTGAAGAGGAGGTACTTGTCTCCTATATGATACAAAGCAGATTTATAAAACAAGTTTTGAAAATCACTAGGTTAGATCAGCCTGAGATTGATTTTAGCTCTGACATCTGTTGATTTCTATGCCCAGGAACAGACAGGAAAAAAGGATGGGGAAGATTGCAAAGCCAGTGAAAGTTGTGCAGGCTCTCGTAGTTGCCAGTGAAAAATCACGAGAAGCCACGGAGATGGAAGTCTCAGTATGTTGCCCAGATTTAGCCCCTCCCAATAGCTGGACTGCAGATGTAAGCTACCACATCCAGCTTTGGGAGAAACTTTAGAGAAAGGAGCTACCTTATGAAGAGTGACTACTAGAAGACAACAGACAGATTGAAGGGAAAAGTATCATAATAGAAACCAGGAAAGTTGGTGAATGTGTAGATATTGGCCACTGCTCTCTGTCCTCACCCACCCCACTTTGCTTACCTGACATAAAGTCTTCCAGAGTTTAGTAGAGCCTTCTCTGTGATATCTGACTGCCCAAGAAGAAAAACTAAATTTATTTACATCAAAAAATTTCTAGGCCAGGGATTTAGCTCAGTGGTGCCGCCACCTGCACTACAACCGCAAGGACCCAAGTTCGATCCCCAGTACCAAAAAAAAATTTCTATGTATAAAAAAACCTGAGAGCCAAGGATTTAGCTCAGTGGCAACTGTGCCTGTCTCCAAGCTCAAGGTCCTGAGTTCAGTCCCCGGTACCAAAAAGAAGTGATGTAAAAAAGTAATTTCTGTATAACTATGCAGTCAGATTATGCTGTACTAAAGTTTATGAATGACAAATTCCATTCTTGTGCTTAGATCTTCTGATCAGTTCTTTTAGATTCCACTCCTAAATATGAAGAGATGACTGAGGATTGCCAGAAATCTAAGGAAAGCCTCTATCATGGAAAAGAGAGATTAAATCAAATAGGGATGGTTCCAAGTTTGAATAGTTCAATTTAGGGGCCGGGATTTAGCTCAGTGGCACTGCGCCTGCCTCACAAGCACAAGGTCCTGAGTTCAATCCCCAGTGCCGCAAAAAAAATAGTTCAACTTAGGATATTTTTTACTTTATGGTGGTGTGAAAGCAATACCCATTGAGTAGAAAACAAACTGAATTTTGATCTTTTCTCAGGCTAGCAATATGCAGTATAATGATAATATTTTTGCAAGCTGCATTTCCTAATCCACCATGTGATCATAAGGGTAAACAACCCATACTCTGTAGTATACTGTGTTGCTAAGCTATGATGTTTGGTAGGTAAAGTTTTTTTTGGGGGGGGGTTGGTACCAGGGATCGAATGGTAGGTAAAGTTTATTAAATGCTTTTTTCACTTAGGATATTGGGTTGTTTTGTTTGGTTTGTTAGTTTTTGGAGGTTTTTTTGTTGTTTTTCTTTTGTTTTGTTTTGCTTTGTTGTTTGAGACAGGGTCTCAAAACATAGTACAGGCTGGCCCAAACTCTTGGCAGTCCTCCTGCCTCAGCCTCCCAGAGTACTGGGATTATAGGCATGCACCACCACACTCAGCTCAGGATATTGTTAATTTACCATGACTTTATGGATTTACATACTTCCATTGTAAGTCAAGAAGCATTAGTAGAGCTGGGGATGTGGCTTAGTGGCACAGTACCTGCCTGTCGAGCATGAGCCCCCGAGTTCGATTCCCTGTACCAAAAAAAAGAAGCATTAATAGAAAAAGCAATTTAGAAGAAATAACCTCTGCAAGGAGAGAAAAGTACTTTTAAACAACCTATCAGTACTAGGTATATAGCTCTTCCATAGCATGCATGAGGCATAGGATTTGATCCTCAGCACTACAAGAACACAAAACCAAAAAATCCTGTCATTTCAAAAGAATTAAAAAAAAAACCTCTAAGCAATGAAAAATATAACGAAGGAAAAATTCAATATAAGAACAAAATACAGGGGCCGGGGATATAGCTCAGTGGCGCTATACCTGCCTGGCAAGTATAAGGTCTTGAGTTTGATTCCTGGTACTGAAAAATAAAAATTTTTTTAAAAAGAACAAAATACAGGCCAGGCATGTCTGTAATCCCAGAGTACTAGGATTATAGGCATGCGCTACCACACCCAGCTCAGGATATTGCTGACTTACCATGAGTTTATGGGTTTACACAGGAGACCAGTCTCTCTTCTGAACCAAGATAATGTTCTCTAACTTATTTTCCCATCTTCATCTTTCTTTCTCTTCTGAATCTGTCCTTCCACCCTCCTCTAGGTTAGAGCATGAGTTTTGGAGTCAGAATAAGAAACCAAATTTTCATCTGTCACTTAATAGCTTTTTAGAAAATTGTCCTTACCTCTTTGTGCCTTAGTTTCTTATTGTAAAACTGAAGTACCCTGTAGGTTTATTGAGAATACAGGTACTAAGAAGAGTTAATAAACATGAAACATTTAGCCATGCTTGGCACACAGAATGTTCTTTGCCTTTATTGGTTGTTGTTGCTTTATCTCACTTCTCAAAGGCAGCA